CCTCTCTCTCTCTCTCTCTATCTATCTATCTATCTATACGTATCACTCTCTTTCTATCGGCACCTGTGTCTGTGTAGTGGCTATATCTATAAAAACGCTTCGCTGTCTCTCGAGTTCGATTCCCGTGTGGGAGAATTTTACATCTCACTCAGTCTTTCTGCTAAGTCGAAGCCCGCATCCTAAAATATCTAAATTGTGTTGATGGGGGCGCAAAAACACCTACAGTTAGAAAAAAAACCCACAAAAAACGCTTGTCTCTCCTAGTCCTAGCCTTATTGAAGTTATTCTCCTCTACCCCCAAGGAAGGACTTCTGTAACGAGAAATCATCACAACCTATGTAATAAAGAAGGGACTTTAGAGTGGGCTATGTAAAATATAGGGTTTAGCATTCGGTCGGTCAATAAAGAACGTAAAGAAAGTAAACTGGTTTTGTGTTATTTTGTGTTCTCTTGCCTTCCTTTTTCTCTTCACCTGGAATGTGTATTAGTGACGTGTGAACGTCTGAAAGCATACACATGATTAGAAAATCCACCATGCGACGTGACCGTGATTCGAACCTGTGAGTGATAGAAGCAAAGGGGCTGTTCCATAGATGTACACAAAAGGTTTAAAAGGAGATAACTCTATGGGCTATTCAAATATAATCTTACACCTGGCCTGGAAGGTGAGGGGTCTTTGGCTCCCGTAATAAAGTGTAAGAAGGGGGGGGGGGCCTTGAACCAATGTATATTACACTTTTGTGAAGTGAAAAAAAGGTGGCCTTGGTGAGCTAACGTCTTGTTACCAGGTACTTTGTAATTTTGTAGCTATCATCTTCAATTTTCAATGGCAACTACATGTAGTACAATGGATAAAGTCAACATTTTTTTTTCGGTTCCGAGGTGCTGACTTTACCAGAAGTCCACTTAATAATTTGTTTTATTAGTAATTAATGGCGCTTTTGAAATTGACATGAGTCCCATAAAAAAGAGTGTATGCAATATTTTGCTTGAATGACTTACTCGGTTATTTTTTTAGTGAGTGAATGTAGAACTGCATAGATCTATATTATTATGTGCAAGTGTGTATGCATGTTTTTCATGAATTTTATGTAAAGTGCATAGAAAATGATTGTAACACGGATTTGCGCGATATAAATGTCATATTATTATAAGCGAACAATGTAATATTGGGGGGGCAAATGTAAGAAAAGTGTGAGAAGGGGGGGTTCCCAAAAAGGTGTAAGATTATATTTGAATAGCTTCAAACGTTATTAGTAATCCAGCAGCATACCACTATGCCAAAACAGCTGGTGATACCAGTGAGTCAAAAAACAGTTTTTAAGAACCTACTTCGTTGAGTGAAATGAAAGCGTATACATGTATCACCTTTCAAAATTCCTAAAACGCAATTAAATCTATTTGTTTACCTCGAAAGGTTTTGTCGAGGTTCCTTCGCAAAATTACATTACCAAAGCTGATGCAATCGGCTTTTTTTTTTAAGTTAATTTTTTTAAAGAAACACGCTATGATACACACACAAAAAAAACCCACGTATTACATGTATTATGTATCTATTCTGGGTGGTTGTTCACAACTAAGCTTTCGAAATTATGTGGGGATAATATTAGATCTAGATCTATGCCTAAGTCAAGTGTATGGATGTCCTTACCATGTAGATCTAGATTATATATTATTAATATTACCTATACCAATTCTTTTGTCTGTGTCTGTATGTGTTGCTTTTTCTTAAAATAGATTATCATTATTGGATCGATGAGCCTCTCCTAAATAAGGTAAATTCAAATAAAACAGCATAAAGCTGCGAAAAGTAACTTTCAGTTTTCAGAGCTCACAGGATG